AAGGTGGCTCAGTGGTAGAGCACTTGCCTTGCATGCATGAGGCCCTGGGTTCGATTCCCCAGCACCACATAAGCAAAAAGAAAAAAAAAGCCGGAAGTAGCGCTGTGGCTCCAGTGGTAGAGCGCTAGCCTTGAGCTGATGAGCTGAGGGACAGCCAGGCCCAGAGTTCAGACCCCACAACCGGACCCAAAAAAAAAAAAAAATTCCAGTGAGACTTTGAGGTCCCAAGTTCAATTTCCAGTATGAACACGGGGGGGGGGGGGGGGGGGAGAGGGGATAGGACTTGATTTGATAACATTTGAAATAACTGATAAATAGTTTGTTGTCCCTGAGCTTATTTTTGCTCAAGGCTAGTGCTCTACCACTTGAGTCACAGCTCCACTTCAGACTCAGACCTTTTCTGCCCTGGCTGGATTTGAACTGCAGTCCTCAGATCTCAGCTTCGTAGCTCAGCTAGGATTACAGGTGTGAGCTATCAGGGCCTCATTACTGTTTTTGAAGATACCCAGATAAACTCTGCCCAGGGAAGGAATGAGGGTGAGAAAAGGAAACTTAAGTAGGGAAGAGAAGGGATGAAAGGACTCTTCTTAGGATTGTACTGGACTTTGTGCTTGCTGGGCAGGTGTTCTACCATCTGAGCCACCAAGGAGGTGTGAAAAATTGTTTTTTTTTTCTACCTCACAGTGGCCCAGGCACCTCTAAAACCAAAAACACCTCGAGGTACTAAGACACCAATCAACAGAAACCAGCTGACCCAGAACCGGGGCCTGGGAGGCATCATGGTGAAGCGCGCCTATGAGACTGTGAGTTGACAGAGGATAAGCCAAGCTGGTTTGGAGGGCTTTTCTTCTTTTTTCTTTTCCCATTTTGGGTTGGCTAGGTTGAGGGGGTCACTTCCTCATTGTCCATTCTTTCCCAGATGGCAGGGCCAGGGGTCCCCTTCTCTGCCAATGGAAGGCCTTTGACTTCAGGGATTCGCTCAAGCTCACAGCCAGTGGCCAAACGTCAGAAACTAAACCCAGCCGATGCTCCCAATCCTGTGGTGTTTGTGGCCACGAAAGATACCAGGTAGGGGGCCGGGAATGTAGCTTAGTGGTAGAGTTGCTTGCCTAGCATACATGAAGTCCTGGTTTTGATTCCTCAGTACCACATACACAGAAAAAGCTGGAAGTGGTACTGTGGCTCAAGTGGTAGAGTGCTAGCCTTGAGTAAAAGAAGCTTATGGACAGTGCCCAGGCCCTGAGTTCAAGCCCCCAAGACCAGCCAAAAAA